GAGCCCGCCGCACCCGGCACACCCGGCGGGCCCCCTGCGCCAGTACACAGGGTTACGTCACAAGCGCTCAGTTCTGGTGACAACACAACATGTCCGCTGCCGATAAATAGACAGTATGCACATGACGTCAAATTGGATCAAACTTTTTATAATGTAAATTATAACAAAAGGACTCGTCTATTTTTTGTATGGAGGTGGTTTTGTAATCTAACAGAACTCGTACCAAGTTTAATACTAGATAAATTTATAAAGATAATTAAAACACAAAAAAAAAGAGTTTTAGACACTTTTTTTTAATTGACACCGACAGTTCTTTAATCCTTGTATGATTGTTTCCTTGCGGGGAACACCGAAGAACTTGTTTTCATTGTCATACGTTTTGCCGCTGTATTCTTCAATCGGATGTTGCCACGTCAGTTCACCCTATTTAGGTATTCAAACTTGGAGCAATTTTCGACAGTATATATGATGCAAGTGACTTATGTATTATGGCGTCGCTGTGTTTTCAATACATAGATCATTTACGTTAATTTAAATAGAAATTCACTCTTGAAGTATTTTACTGTAAACACAATATCAAAATTATTTTATCAGGAATAATAAAGATTAATCAATTTTTGACTTTCGATAACTCTGAGAAGCAATGAGATACTTTGTTGTTGTTTTAACATCGAAGTGACTTCTGAGCGAATGTGATGAATGAAATGAATGAAACTTGACGATTGAAGTCGCGTGTCTGAAGCCAGCTCCGGTCGCGTGTTAGTCGCACGAAAATTATCGTAATCCCGTTTTTATTTTTTTTTTAGCCCGATGGTTGAATTTTTTCGAGTCAATAGTTTTTCTGTTTATCTCGTAACAAGTAGAATCGTTTAAAAAAAAGAAAAATGCACATGCAATGCTAGCGAACGGACCGAAGGGACTGAAATATACATTGTTTAACTTCAAGTATGGTTATTTATTACGCGATGTGGTCGTTACCTGCGGCCGCGAAGGCGGGCGGCTCGTCGTCTGCGAACACGATGGGCAGCTGCAGGATGTCCGCGGCGTCCAG